TTWAAAAAAAAGAAAATTATTCTTTGTTCCACCATGTTTATCTWGTCTTTTTTTCCCCCCGCTGACAACAACAATTTGCATTAGCTCCATTTCTTTGCGTCCAGCTGTTCAGGCTGAGGTTGAATTGATTTCTCAGAGTCTCATAAAATGCAGGTTTATTGATGTTCTGTTCTGATGCATTTCCTGCGCGTCTGTCTCCACCTCCAGTTCTGGGAGAGAGCAGACCGAGTTATTTTGCRCCGAGAGCGGAGGAACGTCTCGGCGTTCCTCACATTCTGGGCTGAAACCACACGGTGGGTTCGGTCCTAATGATTTCTGGATGACTTGCATGAGGGGCATCCAACATTCAGGCTGGAGAAGAGGGTGAGAAGAGTGGGAAAAAAGACAGAGTCAATACACAGCATGAGTTTCARATTACTGAGCTGGCTGCACATGCTGTTTTTCTTTTTTCTTCTTTTTTTAGCTTTGTTCTCCCCTATTTTGACTGTTTACTTTGAAATAAAACGGTTTTCTCTCYCTTACACACACATACAAGAGATATGCAGACAGAAAACAACACGCCCTTGTTATTACTAAAAGTCACAACTGACATCCCCCTCAGGCGGCTGTGTGGCAACTGAGCGCTCATCCCCGAGCTGGGCCACAAAAATACAACACTATCAGTGTGCACATGTGCTGCTGCAGTATCAGACACTGACGAGGGCACCGCCCGGCTGTGTTACAACCAGATCAGATGGAGATACGGGCCTTGTTGTGCACACTCAGCAGTGTGCGAGGGTGCATGTTTGTGTTTTTATCTAACTGGGACAAATAGGGTCAACCTTTCCCCCCAAAAAAACATGACGAAGACATGAAATGRCAGGTTAAGAAGCTGTCCTGCTCTGACCTCTGCTACCAAAGAGGTCTGACCACACAACCGGACATAAAATGGTTACATTTTCAGARATAATTTCTTACACTCATAAAAGTTATGATTTGATTTAAAATTTTAGAAAACAGCTGATCCTCATGAAGTGGCTAAATACTGCATCACTGAGGCTGTTGTGATCAAACTATAAAGGCAACGATCTTCCACCCCCYGACCTTACTGAAGGTGGTCTTAAAGGGGACCACAGGGAGGAAATATTAGTCTTATTAAATAAAAATAAGCTGCTATAAATTGATTTTCAGCACTTTGTGTTTAAGAGGCTTAGCTGATGTAAATTAAAACCAGTGATGAGAAACAAAACCGGTAAAAACGGATTAAATACTGGCTATGATTTTGTGAAGTGGGATTAACTGTAAAGATTTATGAACAATTAATATCTTACCTGTTYTAGATAGCTAATCTTGACCAGATTAATGAGCTGACATCAGCTTCGCTTTATTTAATTGTTCCACAAGAAATAAAATATTGTTGCTGGAGGTGGTCCAGTCTGCACAGGGAAGGCTACAGCTAGCAGCTGSTGCTAATTGTGCTTGACAAATAACCACTACAGTTGCGTTTATAGGTTTAGAAAAAAGCCTTTTTGTGATTAAAATATTTGAAATTTGAGCTGTTTTAGGGTGAGAGTCATTGACAGGAAAGCTTGCAGTAGATCCAGAACCTGCTGGAAGGAGTCTGCTGCACCTTGGGTCCATCAAGAGACGCTGCAGTGTTTGGGAGAGGGATATCTGGGTTTTCCTCCTGGACCTGTTGCTGAACTATCCCTTTAAGCTAGTGGRTGTGCACGTTTGTGTTTTGTTCTGCTAAATAATTAAGACCATCTTCATAAACACGAGCTTGTGAATCATTTTGATGTGAAATGTTTTGGCAGCCTCTGGATTAAAAAAAAACAATTTGACACACTCACTTGTCCTGGAAGCAAAGGCACCGAAGCAGCCCCACACCATGATAGAACCACCACCGTGCTTTACTGCAAACATGTTTTAACTTTTAAACAAACACAAAGCAGTGTGCTGCAAATGTTAAAACTACTGCTCCAGGTTGCTTGAGATGCTTCAACWGGCATATTTCTGCATCCATGCCTGTCTTTACAAACATCTCTCTAGTTTTTCCTAAAGCCATTTCCTCCATCGTATACAACTTGACAACTTTACGAGCTGTTGAAACATAAATGTCAGGGTTTATTTTGGCAAAGAGCAGAAAACAACACAGGTGGGACTTTTACTTTGCTGTAGAAACTGTCCAAATCTAAGTTTTGAACTCTTAATTTGTACAGCTCTCACGTAAAATGGAACAGCAGGACTGTGAAAAGAGCTGATTCAGCAGACATTGGTGAATCTTAAAACTAATTTGATGCATCATTTCATCATTTAACATGCAGATCCCTCAGAAAACAACAGAGCAGGCCTTCTTTAGACTTGTAAATATGAGAAGAAGCTGGTGTCCTGATAATAAAAAAAGTACTGGATGTTCAGTTTGTGGTGCAGTGCAGCCACAGAGCCCTGACCTGATGGATGTCGCTGCAACCAGAGCCCCTCTTTTTCTTCATCTAACCTCGTGCACAGATGCAACGGCTCAGCAGACCGCACGAGCGCAACCTTATCAGCAGGCAAAAGAAGTGCCTCTGCTCTGAACCAGGCCTGACAATTAACTGTCGCTCGATGACTGGATCTCTCTGATAACCTTTTATTTGTCTCTCCCCCCACTGCACACCCCACACATGTGCAGTCTCACCCCGTCCACGTCCAGACAGGGAGATATGATTTGAGGTGAGCTCAAATCTCTTCCGACATATGCCGGAGGAGCCGTGATAAAAAAGTAAAAAAAAAAAAAAAAGTGTCTGCCTGTGTGGGTGTTAATCTGAACAGGCGTGCTTCAGTAATCACCCCACGATTTCTGTTGTGAGGCTGTTCAGTCTGAACTGAATCGTCCCAACTGTTTCTGCCTCATCAGAGTTTTAAATCAGAGGTCAATAGGGCAACTGGGACAGGCTGGCACATGCAGCGAGGCACAGTGCCCTCTAGTGGCTGACTGGTAGCAAGAAAAAAAAATCTATTGGAACTCAAAGGGAGGGAAAAAACACTGAATTTGCAGAACACTTTCTACAAAACACCTCAAATTTTTATAGATGAAACTAGTACAAAAGGTTTTCTGACCCAATATGAGTTCATAAATGTGTCAATTTTGTGTTAAAGATGTGAATCGAAAACAAATCATATTAATCAGTTATTTCATCAGAAGTCTGCAACCCTGGTCCTCATGGTTCCCAGGCCTCCATGTTTTAATGTTTCCCTGCTTCAACACACCTGATTCAGAAGTTAAGTGTGTGTTAAATAAAACAGCTGCACATACACTCATATCCTGCAAAATCTGAGCACTGAAACGTGGATTTAACCGTTTATCCAAACATATCAGGTTATGTGTTTGGATAATCAGCTGAATACCATAACCACATACCATAACTGTTATGGTAATATAATAACTCTGTGTTTAATGTGCAGACTCTAATATTCAGTTTGAGGGTTTAAACATCTAGATTGAATAATGTGTTTACCAACCACTGCTATTGAACTCGTAGAGGTGATTTTTCTGGGAGTTTTATTCCTGAGTGATGGAGAGCTGGAGATGGATTGGAGACCTGTTGCTCTGGTCTGTCATTGTGAAAAAGGAGCCGAGCCAGAAGGTTCAGTCCTGAAGAAGTTGGAATGTTGTGTAAAATGTAAATGAAAACAGAGAGTAACAAACTGAAAATCTCATGAACCCATATTTTCTCTCAGCGGTCTACAGCAGGGGCCTTAAACCCCGTTTGTGACCACCATCCAGCATGTTTTAGACGTTAGCCTGCTTCAACACACCTGACTGAAATGAACGAGTGATTGACAGGCTTCTGCTAAACTGGATGACATTCTGCGTAGGTCATTTAATTATTTGAATCAGGTGTGTTTAAGCAGGGAAATGGCTATAACATGCAGGACAGTGGGTCACGAGGAACAGGGTGAACATGTCAGATGCTAACGTGATGCTAAGCCCACACAGTGATGTTCGTGACAAGATCAGACGTCTTTTTATTGCAGGTCCGAAGATTTACGGGCATCCACTATCGTTTTTTTTTGTCTTTGACCTTTGTTCAAAGAAATTTGTAAGATTTCCCCAAATTCAAAGAGGCCTCTGGAACACGCAGGAGCTGGAGATTGTCTCTTGGGATGAGCGATGTCTCTCCTGGACCTGTGTGGATGGATTAACGGATAAAGACAACTAAAACTAAAGGCGATGATTTCTTTAGATCTGAAATTCAAAAGCCTTCCTGAAGACAGGATTTTCCTCCTTTCTGATGCGTTGTCAAACATCCTTGGAGAGGTGTGGGGTGTTTTTCTTGCAGGTATGGATGTAGTTTAGACCTCAGCAGTGATCTGAAGTGATGTGATTTTCTCTGAAAAGAATCTGGGAATTTTCCCACTACGGTTGTCCTCCATCTCTTTTTCCACTGAACTCACCGGGGGGTTGTTTATCACAAAACATACATCGATTTATCCGATGCGTATGTTGAAACTTCTAARGGATCGACTGGCTCTGGATGCAGGCATTACTTTTTAAATCAACTCGACTTATAACCTGCTAAAGTGATAACAAACAAAAGACGAAGAGTTTGAATTAACTGTTGACACACGCGTAAAAAATAATAATCTACACAGAGGTTCATTACTATGTACAACTGTTTATTCTTGATTTGCAAAACATTGGACAAAAAAACATTACATCAAAACCAATTTATAAAAGAAAAAATAAAAGATAAAAACTGCAATTACATTAGGATTTAGGAGCTCTAACTGCCTTGATATACGAAGCAATTTCATGCTGACCGACACAGGTAGTTTATGGCGAGCAGCTTCATCAGTCTGCATGTCACAAACACTAGAAGAAATGCTTTTTGTTGGTTCAGGTCGTTCATTTTGATGTAGTACCCTTTCAGGTTTAAGGGAGGGTAAAAAAAAAAGAATTTAACGCCGAATAAAAATTTGTTGAAACATGAAGCCAATGTTGAAATTTTTATAACGTTTCTGTTCAGATTTACTGGAGGAACACTTGTGAACACCCCGTGTTGAAAAGGGTGGCATCGTGGCGCTCGGCTCGGGGGAGACGAAGGCCACGCTGTTCCTCTGGAGTTCATTCAGTGTTTCACCTGAAACAGTGCGACCTGCAGACTGAGAGCTCGGTTGATGGGGAGTTTACCAAAAACAGACAGAAGTTGCACTGTTCATACGATACAAGGAATTTTTTCTTTTAAACCAATAAGCATCGGTAAGTCGAGCATGACTTCAGAGAAACAATCTTCCAATGCGGCTCGTTGCTCTGCTGGGAACAAACGCTTTGGAAGGCGGTCGTGTTTTTTAGTGTCGGTTTGCACACAGACCTGGCGGCGCTCGAGACAAAAGCAGCAGCATTGCATGGACGCTGAGGATTTTCCTTCTAATTCCCCTCGTTTGGCAGGGAATTCTGAAGGCACGGGAAGAGACTTTACAACAGGCAGAGAGATTTAAAAAAGACGTGAAGGATTAAAAATTAAATTTCAGATTTGCGCAGCCACAAGATATGCAGTTGCCATCAAGTGGGGCGCTGGAACATCTTCTGTTGCAAAGTCTTTCGGGTTGTTTCCGTAAAGCCGCATTCGCCTTCTTTAGCCTTGCTCTAGGAAATAAAAACGGCAAGATACCGCAGATATCAGAAACGTAGCAGCAAGATTAACTGTTGGATGAAAACTACAGACGTGGAAGGTTAAAAGATGCAGAAAAGTCTGCCCGCTTGTCGAGTAAATGCAGCCTCGTGCTAGCCAGAGCCCAGGTGGTCAAATTGCAGGCACTGAATCAAAAACACACTCCTGATATTTTGTGCGTTTAGAAAACAAAAGATAGAAAAGGCATTGCTAATCAACCTTGAGAAGAAGAAGACGAAAAACTTTATAAAAACAACCAAAAACAAACTATGAATGACTTCATTAGCTGGACTCTCCCAAATCTGAGAAATCTCTGAGGTAATCATTGAAGTATGACTCATTAGACAGCAATAAATACCAACATGAATACAAAAAAAAGAAGGTAAAAATAGAAGCAAATTCTAATGCTAAAGCAAAAAATATGAGCTAAAAAGAGGTAGGTTTCTTTTAGGTAGATCATGGTATACATCCAATGTGAACACTTTTTTTTGTAAGAACTACATTAAGTTGATCCATTACGCCTGTTCTGAAGGGAAGAGCAAATCATGAAAAAGTCAAGACTTTAAATTCTTTGCATGGAAGATGGACAACAGTTTACTCTGAATAGTATATATTTGTCTCAGACAGTATTTGTAATGGTAATAGTTATATAAAAAACTTTTTAAAATGTCCAGAGTACATGAGAGACTGTAGAGCTTGCTGGTGATAGTGTACCATGAGTTGGACACAGCAGGCGTCATTACTGAAGTTACTGAATCCGTTCAGGACTCGGAGCAGCCTACCATGATAAAAAAATCTAAACCAAACAGGAATCTCTGATGATGCACCATACTCACATTTACTGTATTTGCATGATTTGGTGGCGGACATTAAAAAAGGAGGAAGAAGTTTTTGAAAAAAAAAAAAGAAAAATAACACGTAATCAAAAATCCAATTAGACAATCTTAAATCGGTGTTCAGTCAGTGGCTATAATACATCAGAGAGCTTTCCTGTTCGATTATCAAATCCCCAAAAAGTGGACTCCTCTGTTACCCTGTTCTCGTGTGGAGGGAARTCTCCCTGTGGCACTTACATATTCACCAACCCTCCCACTGTGTCACACATACAGAAAATCAACACTGCACCTCAAAAGGAAACAGCACGAAATCAAACTCTTTTCTACATACAAAAGTATGCATTCAGGAAACGAACAAATGATCAACTTCAAAAGTCAGGGTTCAGTAACCAAGCACATCATACCCCTCATCAAACTGACATACTGTACAAAACGAGTGGTACTGCCTAAAAACAGTCAAACTTCAGCTCCATGACGTTCAATCGCAGCAGGGTCGTTTGTGGGACTAGGGGAGATTACCTTACAAAAATCCCCAAATTAAAAATTAAAAATCAATCATTTTCTAATTATTGGAATATAAAAAAGGGATTACTGATTTGTGCTATGAAGATTATCTGAGCATGAAGCCCTGACTGTCAGCGTGTGGAGTGTCACAGTGACTGGAGAGTTGGAACAAAGTCACAGTGACAAAAAGCGGTCTTTGTCTACGATCGGGAGAAGAAAAAAACAAACCAACATTTTTTTTATGTGAAGACAACTTTTCTCGTCTTCCTGTCCAAAATATCTTTGACAATTAAAACAAAAACGATGCCAGACGTTACTGGCGGGACGGCGTGGCCAATCACAGGAACCGTTTTAACTGGTGACACTAAAACTGCGCAGTTTTCTGCAGTGAAAAAGCAGCTGCATTTAGCAGAGAATGGACAAAATATCTTTTTGGGGAGGTGTCTCGATGCAACGAATATGTCACCTTGTATAGTTTGACCTGAATCCTGTACGCAGCCACATTAACACGGCCTGAAAACCTAAGCAGAGGAAAGTTTTTAGCAGCTTGGTTTATCTGTATTAGAAGATGTCGGATGAAACAGAAGCCAAAGACAACTGACAGCAGAGAAGCGGGGAGCTKCTGTAATAAACAAGCTCATGTTCCTAATGCCATACAACCATTATAGTTTAGACTATAAATGAAAACTCCCAAGGCTCATTTTTTTACTTTTATAATGTAGTGCTATATAACTAGCTTGGCAATTTGTATGGCTTTTAAATGAGAACAGTGTGTCCTCGTTCAGAAAATGAACTTTGGAAATTAACATTACGCCACGTCTAAACAAATAATACATTTTATCAAACATACAAACAATTTAATTTTAAGCCATTTTCTTTAATCTATCCTATTAAATGCTAAAGTAAAAACAAAAGTGGGTGTTTCAGGAAAAGTGTTAATATATCAAAAACGTACAAGGGTCTGTTGTATTTGCATATATCTTTCTGGGAAGGAAAAAAGCCAAGAGGATCCTTGTAGCCCTATGTACAGCGGCAGACATATTTATATAGAAGTATATACCTGGTATTTACAAAATGCAACCACTAGAGGGCTGCGCAGCATACATCATCAAACGGGAGGGCCAGGGCGTGGAAGTGCACAGCACCATCAGCACCGCCACAAGAGGCCCTCGGACATTCTAGAAAATCCACTTCCCAGTCAGAAACGAAAGGGGTGAGATATCTGTGGAGGTCTGAAGCAGCTTCCCAAGCTTTCCGCCCACTGAGCTCACTGTATACTGAGGAGGAACAATTCATGGAATTGTTTATAAAGGTCAACTGACATTAAAAAAAAATACACGCACATTCACAAGCACACAAAGAAAATCTATTGCAATTATATCAATATATATGCCAAATCCATGTATGGTTTGCAGCTATATAAAAAGAAAGGAAAACAGGCCCCTTGCTTTGGCCTCCAATCACTATTCCAGTTAGATTTGGCGTTTTAGCCCTTTAAAAATCTCTGATAATAAAGATGCTGTATCGCATTACATAGGGTTGACTCAAAGGTTGTTAACAGTGCTTAGAATACGCGCAATACCCATTAATAATAAACGTGGACAGAGTTCAGGAGAGGAGCAAGACAAAATGTGGGCTTGGTTTGATAATTAGCGAGTAGATAATACATTTAGTGGCTAATTCTCAGCTCAAACCCAGGCAACCTATTTTTAGTTCTATCAAAACCCCACTAAATTACATACTATGATCTGTATTCTGCAGTAAAAATCTATAAAAATGAAATTTTCCTTCATATACTGCAGGACTAGTCAGACAACTTGCAGAGTGGCTGCACGACCGAAGCATGGAGCAGCAAGATTATTTTAGGTGCTGGAAGCCTTTAAAAAGAAATTATTAGTTGACCATACCTTTGGCGAAGGGTAAAAGGCATGTGTTTGAATTGTACACAGTCATTTACATAAGTTGTCCCAGAGCGAAGCAGATACAAAAAATAAAATAAAAAAACAACCAAAAAAAAAAAAGTTGGGAGACATGATTTCTGAGTGAACGAACAAAAAGTCAAAGTAGTGTGCAGGCACTGCTTTTGCACTGGTGAACTCAGATGTGCTGGATCTAAGTTGTTCTGTGTAAAAGTTACCGTTTCACATAGCTGATGTAAATATAAAACAAACCCATTAAAAACCAAGAGGTAGTTCAACAGAATGGCTAAATGAGTAACTGAGGATGCTTGTTGTGTTGGTGTGTGAACGACATGTACACACAAAATGTCCAGGCATTTAAAGCAGCTGTTTGTTGAATTAAATACACACAAAAACACTGTATATATATCACTGTATATATCTATATATATATAGGCAGATGTCCCATGGATAGCTTAATTTGAACTATATGACATTCCCTTGTTTACTGTGTTAACATCTGCTTTCTCTCAACACCCTTGGCCTTTGAATCAAGATAGACTTCTTTAGACATTAACATACATGAACACAGACTCACACACACGCTCCACTTGCTCTGTTCTGCTTGCTCCATACACTTCTCCTGCCTTTAGTCCATCCAGCGCATTCTCTGCTCTCTCCCTCCATTTTTTTCAACCAAGTGGGATCCCATCTCCAGCTTCCTGCCCCACACCAGAGCTTCAGACGGGGCATCTAGGAGACTTCGCTGCCGAACACTTCTAACACCAGCGGAGTCAGCTGCATGCTGTGCTCRGGCCGGAACGACAGGGAGCGGTACTGTTTGGAGTGCTCCTCGTTGAGGCTCCGCAGGTCAGCCAGCTTCTGGATCATCTTGGCATACAGCAGCTGTCCGCCTGGGTGGTGGAGCTTAATGTAGGCCTGCAGGATCTCCGACAGCCTGTCCTGGAGCGCTTCGATCTGTGCGTGGTCCTGGACGCCTGGGCGGTCTGCAGCAGAGAAAGGGAAAGGCTTAAGGCTGGTTTATGCTTAGAGTTGTTCCCTCTGCTGAGTGACAAAAAAAACTGCGTAACTTCCGTCCGCTCTCCCGCTGCTATGCCCCGGTGACAGCCATTGTGTACATTGGCCCAGTCAGAACTCTGCGACGCAGAGAACGTGATTGGTTTGATTGGTCCAGCAGAGGTTCAGCTCCTCAGTGCTGTCGCAGCTAACTAATAATGTTCACATCTTTTTTCCATCACCACCGTTAACCACAAAAAGAAAAAGAAAAAATTTTTTTCTCCTCCATGGACTCTTCACCCAACACAACACCAATTGTTTAGTGAAAAAAAACCTACAATATTCAGTCATTATTATTGTTGTTTTTCTACTTAAAGCTGCTGTATGTAGTTTCTTGGGAACCCAAAAACTTTGAAAAATTTTGAACAGAAACAACCTTGTAGTCCCTCCCCCCTGCTCTCAGCTCCCCTTCCTAGGCTCCTCCCCCACAGCACGGCACAGTCGGGAGCGAGCACGCTTGTAAACAAGAGGTGATCTCACCGTAACACACAGAGCTCAGNCGATTGAAGTGTTGGAATGCAATTTTTTTAAAGGGCAATCTTTATTAATTAATTAAATGCCGTGCCAGGATGTAAAATAAATTTTTAAATGTGCCCTTCTCTGTAAATTAAAATGTTTTAAACATCATTACTGTGATCTGCGCAAATGAGGGAATAAAATAATTAATATACAGTGCTGCGTCTCTCTTCTCATCATCTTCTTGCTTTGGTGCACCACAAGTGACCCAAATGGTGCTTTATTACGTTTAGTTA